TCATCAACATGTTTATCTTTCTCAACAAAAATCAGTAGACTGGTGCAGAAGTTTTATGTGAGTTAATAGATATTTTTTTTGAGGCTTTGTTAAGTAGCCTAATTTGTTGCTAGGTAGGCTAATCTCTCTCACACTCTTTCTCGACTTCGTACCTTGGATAGTTTTGAGTTACATTGAGTATTATTATGTTTTTGGTTAAGTTATTGTTTAACATGATTTTTTTTATTATTATTTTGGAACAAACGATCGGGTCTCTGTTTGAGGACGCCAACTCGCAGCTGCAGGTTTTGTTGCTTTTTAGAGCACCGCAGCGCATATTTCAAGTTTAGCCGAATGTCCAGTTTAACTGCCGCAAGTTGATTATCTTGTAATAAAGATCTCATCGAGGAAAAACACGATGTATTTTTGTATTTAATTTATTTTCACATATTTTAATTTATTTGGAGCTCTAGATTAAAACAAACACAGTTTACAAGTACACAAGAGGTTGCAGTTTATTCTTATTAGTCTATGCTGATCATGGATTAGCATACCAACAGCATATGAATGGGATAGTTCACCCAAAAATAAAATTCTCACTTATTTTACTCACCCTCATGCTGTCCCAGATGCATTTTACTTTCTTTCTACAGATAAATACGAATTAAGATTTTAAGGAATGTAATCCATCTCTGCGAGTCCTAAAGATGCTTTAAAAACCACACACAGTGACCGTGATGTCCATGCGACCTCAGTGGATGAATCAATGCCTTCTTGAGGGAAACAATAGGATAAGAAAAATACTAATAATGTAAACTGTTTTAACTATTAAAAATCACTTCCGACCAAGTGTCATACATGGGTTACAATCCACTTGTCTTATATGGACTCACAGAGATGGATTATTTCCTTAAAAATCTTTGTAATTATGCATTTTGTATGTATATTATGAGAATACTGTGCATTACATGTATAGTATGCAGTTAATGTTTTGTGGCTTCTGGTCTTTCCTGACACAACATAATCGCATCCAAGACTTTCACTTTGATACTTGTGTATATGCTGTAGTGACAATAAAGAATGTAAATTTATTTGATTTTTTATCTAAATTAATTTAACTGATTTTATAAGTCATAATTGAACCTGTTGATGATTGTTTAAATATATTTACAATTTTAAATGTTAGAAGATAATATTAACTAAATGAAATAAATAAAATTATTGGTCAGCATGATTAAAAAAATGGCAACAAAAATATTCTTTGTATGAAATATGTAATGAAATGCCCTTTGAGGTCTGTATCATCTGACAGCAAGCCACGATTGTAATTTTCATAGTTTAAATTCCTCTTATTTAAGTGATCATACATTTTGATGGTGTAAATGCATATGGTAACAATGAGAAATTTGATGGCCATGGTTGCCAACCTTGATTACCTGGTTGAAGTGAAACTTTCTTGACGGCTGAATATATCACACACGTATACTAGAAGGCTATTCTCTTTAAATTGTAATAGCACAACCTAATCAGAGCCTAACATGCAAAAGAATCATCAGGAATAAACAAATATTCTCCTAAAACATTGGACACAATATTTTAAGTAGGCATATACAGTAGGCCTACTTTGATGTAGAATTACACCTGAATAGACTGAAGAGATCTCTTGCGCTCCTAAAAGTTTCTGTTGACAAAGTAGTAGCAGCAGCAGGTAAATACAGATAAAATTCAAAAACAAACATAACTTAATATTACTAAAATTAAATAGAAAGCTGCGCTTACAGACGCTCACATCCACACAAGTAAACGCAACACTGACGTCTTCACTTCCAGGTCAAGAAGCTGTCAATCAAAAACTCAGTAGCCAATGAGAACACACTGCTACTAGCCCCGCCCCCCACGAGAGAATTGTGTCAGAACAGCGAACGAAAACTCAGGGAGCGTAAACGAAAACTTCAGAAGCGTAAATGAAAACTTCAGAAGCATAAATGAAAACTCTGGAAGCGCATTTGTAAGTTTAGATCAGTAAAAGAAATATGAGGAATAGTTAGCAAAACATGCAGTGTATTAAAAACAAAGTCAAAAAAATTGCTTGCGATTCATTCTTTTTCAGTTTCAAAGATAATTTATTCAATTTCAATTTATATTTTCATTAGTTTCTTGAAAAGTTACGTTCATTATTATCGGCACAAAAATAATTCCATAATGCGTATGGCACACCTGCATATGCAACTGAAAACACCTCAGGAGTTTTGAAGTCGTCATCTGATTGAATTCTACAGGATGTTTGGGAGACGTGCAAGTCTCATTCTTTAACGATTCCCCTGGAAACAAAGATGTTGTGAAGCCAAGCCCCCTCATGGAAGAAGAACGCTGTGGCTGAGCGCTTATCAGGATCAACTAAATGCTGGACAGTTCATGACATAGACTCTTTAAAATACGTCCAAGAGTTTTACACACTGTTCTGTTATTGTAGGGACATCAACGTTACATTGTCACGCCCCTAAACCTGACGTGGAACAAAACGAACCGTGATTGGTTGCTTTACATGTCAGTCAGGCGGCCTCTGGGCGGTCCGTGGCCAATGAAAACTGCTATGGAGTCCAGACCTTCAGACTAGGCTGTTGCAAGAATGTTCCGAGTGGTTGCTAGGTGGTATTAAGGGTATTCTGGGTGGTTGCTAGGCCACCAGTAGTCAGAGTGTTGAAAGATACATGATTATTTTAGAGTGATGAAAGGTTTATAATATCACTATTTAACTCTCTTGGGCTGTTCTGTAATTAAAAAAAAAATATATATATTTCTTTTTTTACTTCATCGGAATTGTACGAAACTTGGTAAAGGTATTGGCACTTGCTTTTATATGATTTGATATTATTGATATGATTTGAAAAGTTTAAATGGTCCTGAAAAAATAATCACACTTGTATTGTTCGTGGTCAAAAATGAGACGAATTTCATCTAGTGGAAACGTTCGGTACTGCGCCCAAACAAAATTTGACTGAAATCTCATTTTTTGAGATATCAACCTCACATTTGGAACACAACTTGTTTAGATTTAATGGCTTTGATTTTCTCACAGTTTAAGAGTAAAATGTGTTTTGGAAAATATATATTTCATGTAAAAAATTTAAATAGTATTTGTGTGCATTTTTCATAAAATAAGCTTTTAAACTTTTTTAAACTTCTGCAATAATCGTCTTTAAAAAGAGACCAAACTTAAGTATATGCTCCAAAGCATTTAAGATTTACGACTTTTCCTTTTCAGGACTATGCTCAAAAAGTGAAAAATGGATAATAACTACTAATAAATATAACTCCCATAAAATATTAAATAAAAATATTATCCAACTAAAATATTGTAAAATCATTTCATTGAATTAATAAAAAAGGTCATTTGTGACTGCCACGTGTCCAGCACTTAGAGGTTTAATGGCATATTATTTATGAGTGAGCTGTTTTGTGCAAGAACTTCATTAAGATCTGTTTTTACTGCTTGGCCTTTATATTCCTATACTTTAGAGAGCAATGATTCTGTTTAATAGGAATTGATTTAGTCTGTTTCACATTTGTCTTTGCTTTCATTGGCTGCTGCACAAGTGTTGAAACCATGACTTAATATTCCTGATGCCGGAGAGCAAAAGTTCAGCTTATTACGGTTCGAGCTTCCCAATTAAATTTATCTGTTTAAAAAAAACTCTAGGGAAATATATTTTTCTCTCCATTCAACCCACTTTAAAAAAAAAAAAAAGCTTTTAATGGAGTTTTTGTGTCATTCTATGAAACTGTGCTTCAGGGACGGCTCATTATGTGCTGGGACTAATTTGATTGTTTCTGTCAATTATTATGCAAACTTCTCATCATGACATTTGAAAAGCAGCATGTTTGGAAATGTCAGTGACCTCTGTGGTCAGATTATAAATATAAACATGCATAGATTATTCTAGTGTGAACACTCTGCTGCTTGGTGATAGTTTCCCTACAATAAAATGCACATCCATTGTAATTAAAATATTACCAACAAAACAGACACGTTTATCTCTAAACTACAAAACACATTCGGGTTGAAGAGTTGATAAATGCAGAACAGTGCATGCCATGCAACCATAGGATTTTTATGTCAATGTTGTATTAGAAGTCAGTGCAATAACATGCTGATGATGTTATCAATGCACCGGTCAGCTTGAGTCCAAATTATAGTTATATATATATACCCTATAGTTATGATTTAAAGGAACAGTGCATCTGAAAATTGTTTGGAACAACATGAGTTCACGCTCGTAGTTCGGTTTTCTTTGTTCTTTTGATTCGGACCAAAAATAGAAAACAATACATTTAGTACTGGTTCACCTAGCGTTTAGTTATTTTTAACACCAAACCTAAAGATGCACAAAAAAAGGCTTTAATGACATATTTTGCGACTGAACTTCTCAAACATCCAAACCAATGCTGTGTTCTGGGATAAATGCGCTCGCTGTGTGTGCGTAGCTTCATATGATGGTATTTTGAGTAGCTGAGAACTCGTGAAGAGCTTATAAAATGTGTCAAAACAGCGGCAGGAATCCCTCCGTCACACACACACACACACCTGCTGTGAGGAGAGGCGGTTCTGATGCCTGTACTGAACTGTGATGAGGAACATCACGACTATGCCGAAAAAAACAGGTGTGCTTGAGCATTCTGTCCTTTTTAAGGTTGCCTCTGGTGACATCATTTCCTGTTTTTGGTTTGTTTACATGTCTTTGGTGTTGTGTTCATATTTCAGTCGCACCGCACCAGAGTTGGTTTGGAAGCGGACAGAGACTCATCTTTTCAGCGTCTCGCTCCTCTTGTTAGATGCACCAGGGTTCAGACGGCAGCGTTCACACTTATTCAAATGAACCGCACTAACAGAGCAATCGCACCAGAGTTCACTTTAATCCAACCAAACATGCCAAGTGTGAACACACACTAAATAACACCTTTTTATTTTTAAGTGAACTATTCCTTTAAGATCAAGCTGAAAACAAAAACGTCATCAATAATTTGGGAGGGCAAGTTAAGATTTATTTTACAGGCTAATTTTATTAGTCTACAATACAAAATAAAGTTCTGTCCTGGAATATCATAATGTTCCTCAGTGACCAAATAATTTCCACTCACAATTTTTTTTGAAACGGTCACTGAACAAAGGTTTTAAAAAAAGATTAGACTCACTGACTGAAAAAGACAAACACAAATCCGAACCGAGGATCCACTGATAAAGCCTCAGACACAGTCCAGTACAATCTGCATTTCCCGGGAAATGAGTGTGAGCCGGGTCACTTTTTAGAGTAAGTGATCTTCATGGCACACGTCGCTGTAATCCTGAATCCCTGTAGCGCGTCTTTCGCGACTCCGGCTTGAGTCTCGCTCTCGAACTCCACAAACGCAATGTCATGCTTTCCAGGGACCAGACGCACTTCTTTAAACCCAGGAAACCTGAAAACATGGAACAGGACAGGGAGCCGATGAGTAAACAATCAGAGAAAATCTCACTGGAAGAGCTATTTTCAGCTTGACAATACATGATATACATCTCAATATTTATGCATTTGTGATAACACGGCTTAAAAGAGTGTTTTTTTTTTTTCTTGAGTAGATTTAAAGTTTATCAAAAGTGAAATGTTTTCCACACTAAAAGAACACAAAGAAGAATATTTCATATTAAAATTCTCATATATTCTCAGTAAAATTCTATATAACAACAGTTAAAATAGATTGAAATAAACAGCCATATATTACTAAAACATTTACTTTGTTTTTCCTCTACTGTATACTAGATTTGAAAGAAACGTACTGGTTGAATAACATGGAGAGCATCATCTCGTTGGTTTCTTCTGGGAGATTATTCAGGAACAGAATATAATTCGGTGGGTTGTCAGGGACCTAAAACAATATAAAATCATTTATGGGATTTTCGGGTACATAAAACAACTTTTTTTTTTATAAAATCACAGAATAAGTGTGTGCAGTACCTGGACTGTGGCCGGTGGAGGAGGTTGGTTGTTTACGGATCCCTGCAGGAAAAATGCAGAAGCAAAATTTGCTCAGTTGATCTGGTTTTTCTTTGAATATGCTTTTCAGGCCAGTGTCTTTCTGATTACATGATGCATTTCAACTCACCGTTGGTTTCTTGTTGAGATTGGCCGCCTGTTCCAGGGCTTTCTTTTTCTTCTCTTTCTTCTTTTCTTTATCTCCATACGTGCCTCTCATCTTAGAGACCAGGTCCGAGTCAGTTTTTGCATACTGGATTCGCTACAAGTACATGCGAAGGTTAGCAAGTGAGAAATGTGTCAAGTATTTCTAATTCTTTATAATGTGAATTGACAACATCTGATAAACATCCACCCATCAGAGGAGCAGTTCAGCCACTAGAGAAGATTCTGCCAACATTTGCATTATTTTAAAAAGTGATTTACGCAATCACAGTGCAAAAATGGCATAAATGTAGTCCACATATACGTTTTAATTTTTTCGGTGAGTTCTGTACCATTGGCTCTAATTAGACACCGTAATTTTTTTTGGGCTTGTCTTGGTGTGTCCCGAGCTTTAAACGCTGCCCTATTCGCTAGTCATTTAACGCGGATATACGTCACAATATGAAAAAAAAGATTATCGCAACTTCCATTTCATGCTGACTTTAAACAGTTTACCAAATCAGGAATTCAAATTCTAACTCGTCATTAAATCCCACATCTACATCACTATAAATAAACACCAATTTATTATTACATTTCCTTTCTAATAGCAGAAATTCTTTATTTACTGCTACCGTTACCGAGAGACTGTTAGAATCAAACGTTTTTTTTTCCCCCCCAAGCCTGGATATGTATTGATCGAATGCGGTTTGAGCTTGTCCACTTTCGACCACTTCCAGAGTTAGTTAAAAACGCATCACACCGGATTGCTTTCGTAGTGTAAACTCATGTGAATGTGTTCAAACAGCCACAAAAGACCGTCTTCTCTCCGCCTACTGACCTAATGAGGAAGCATTATGGGAAGTGCGCTAGCCAGACGGGATATAAAACCTTGTCGGCATTAAGACCCAAGTTTGGTTTGAAAATGAAAAACATACTAGGCACAATTTTCTCTCTCCATTCCTGATTTCCAACACACACTTTTATGACATCAGAGTAGAAACTAAAGCTGATGCTCTGTGTTTTTCCGTCGTCTCCAGGAGGGTTAATATGTACATTGTGAAAGCTTATTTTGTCCATTAGATCTGAAAAGCCCATACATTTACCAGCCCATAGACCCTCCCTTCGAAGAAATCAGGACGAAAGTGGACAAAAGAGGCGGATTACAACATCAGGAGTAAACAGGAATGTCTCTCTCGTCTACTTAAGATGCGTTTGGTCGATCGGATCACAATACCAGGTGTAAACAGGGCCAATGCGAGGAAATGGTGGCAGTTTTTACTTTGTAGATGAATTTCTCCTTGGGTGATGAAGATCTAATTACAACATAAAAGCTAAAGAGGTTATGGTGAATCAATGTACCAATTCCCTCATTATTTTCTAAAATGTTAGATTCGAGATACGTAAACATCAGATGATCTGAGGCGTGTGTCACTGACCATGGGTTTGTTGTAGAAGGGGAATCCCTGCAGTTGTCTGAGGGCATTGGTGGCTGCAGAAAGCTCTTTAAAGATCACAAACGCCTGACCCCTCATCTTCGCAGTCTTCAGAGCAACAATGTCCATAATCTGGCCAAACTGCGAGAATAAGGCGTACAGCGATCTCTTCAGCTCTGGAGAAAAAACAAGTTTCACACAACTGCAGATTCTGTCCTCAAACATATGATCACAGCAAACATGTCAAAGCTGTTCCACTCAAAGCCATTTTACCTTCTTTCTTGATCTTATCGTTAACATTGTTGATGTAGATGGTGTGATTCGGTCGTATGTCCATGATTAATAATTTCACTGCAACACAGAGAAAGAGATTGAATTCAATTATACCAATAAATGAGAGCAACTAACGTACACAAAACCAAAACACACGTATTACCTTCTATTTAGTATTCAGACTAGTCTTAACTACTAGTGTTTATAACAGTGCCGATCTGATAAATTATAAAACGTAATTTATTAAACACTAATATAACAATAAACCTGAATGAATCGCCTCAAACTTACCACACTGCTGAATTCAGGCGGAAACTGCTTCTTCTCCTTTATTGTTGAGAAACAGTTCCGGGTTGTTGCGCCTCCTGTTGTCGCGGAGTGATACAACATCCGCGCCAAACCCAAACACGTAATATGTAGCTTTTCTAAAAATTTGCCCACGGTTTCACAGACTTAAATTACTCTAGTCCCAGACTAAAATGCACGTTTGAGCTGTTTTAACTGAAAGCAACTTGCCCAGAGATATCTTTAAATATGTCAGTGTGGCATTGTTTTGTCTCAAGATGCACACCAGTAATGTTTTGCTAAGGTATGTTTATAAAAGCTACTTAAATTTCCTAATTAAACTAAGGCCTAATCTAAACCCTGTCTGTGAAAGCAGGCCATAGTCTCATAGCTTGGACCCCAAGTTTAAAACTTTTATACAACCATTTATGTTTGGCTAATGGTTTCCCTAACCGATACTTCAAGACTAATGTTCTGAGTGGTTGCTAGGCAGTTTGCAATTGTTTTTTTATTAATGAATAATCACTAATATATGACTCTGACTATTCATGGAATTTCGTACCACCTATGGATACCTTTTTTAAAAAGCTGAGACACATTCAAAAAGATTCACATTTATTTTACATCCAGTAAATGAACAATAAACACACACATGACATTATAATACATTTTGTTGCTGGGCTGGTTCGTGCACAGGTCATTATTTGAGATGTGTATTTTGTGACACGTTGACCGCTGCTCTCGCTGACTGCCTGTATGTGTGTGTGTTCAGAGTGTGTTGATGCTCTGTAGTTTGCGCTCGGTGAAGAAGCGGTGTGTGTCTCGTGTGTGTGTGAGCTCGGACGGCTTGCTGCGGCTGAAATAGGACAGCATGGAGGCGTTATTCTGACGCGCAGCTGCCTTTTCACCATCTTCCTCATCATCATCCCTACACATAAAAACACATTTAATATTGCACTCAAAGTACATAACATATGCAAAGAGAAATATTTTTGTATGATGCACAATTTTGTAAATAACAGCCGGTCTGAAGATGAAAAGGCAGCGCCCCCTGCCGTCAGACTCACCAGTGAACAGCGACAGCTTTACTGTCCAGGAGCGTCTGCGCTGTGCTCCAGCTGAACCTCACGAACTGAGGATAACCAAACACTGGGTCCAGATACTTCAGCAACCAGCTCTTAGTTTTAGGATCTTAACACACACACACACACACACACACAATATCATGATACATTTATATTGAGCCAAGTATACACTACCTTTCAAAAGTTTAGGGTTAGTAAAAAAAAAAAAAAGTAAGAAATTACTGGAATTTTTTGAAATTATAACTTCAACATGATGCAATAAATTCACATCTACTGACCATTAGGATACCCAGAGCCGTAATCTGCATCCACGTCGCCCAAATCTTCTGCAAACTTCCAGGATTTGACCGCATGGTCTCTGGCCACCTATAAAAAGTAAAAATTACTGTACAAAAAATCCAATCAGGTGTGTAAATCTTTCCTTATTAGCAAACCGTTGAGGGTTTGCGATTACCTTGGCACAGATGCTGGCGGCACTGACGACGGGGAAGAGCGAGTCAGCTTTGGGACGCACCGTGACCTCCACCCCGGGGAAGCGCTGCGAGAGCTTGTCCTGATACTTCTCTGCAGGACCCACGGTATCCACAAACACCTGAGAGGAATGAAAGACACGTCGGGATGGGATCATCACCATTTCTGCTGTCTATCACACAGGCGTTGGTTTAGTACCTCTTTGAGCTGCACCCCGCAGTCCAGCGCGTACTGCACCAGACCAATAGCAGCATCATGGGACAGAGCATTCAGATTGTATTTCGCTCTGAAAACAAAAGGACGACAGGTTAAAATGTTTCTTCTGACTAGAATTACCAGCTTTAAAGGCCCCCTGAAATCAAAATTGACGTTTTTTAGCTTATAGTATGAATATGTTAGCTTTAAGGTAATGAATAAGCTGGTGTGTTCCAAAACAATGACAAAATTGGCATTTAGGAGATATAAGCATTCAAAACTTCGTCTCTCACTTCCGCTAAAATGTATCACGGATTTTTATGAAATCACTTCAGCTTCTCATCACATCTTCTGTCCAATCAAATGCCCTCTAGAATCTAAAGCTCCGCCACCTATGCTATAAAAACAAACCCCTGACCAAGAGATGTGTGTTCTGTTGCTCAAACACTCGAGTTTTATTCCGTTTTCTAACTGTACGTTGGTTAAGATTGAAACGGCCAGAATTTATTCACACCTCTACTATTGAATCCAACGTATCATCAGCGCTCGGCTTCGCTTCCACGGTGCTGTCAAGCACGACTTGCAGTCTGTGAGGTAAACTGAACGCTATTGGCTATTTGAGAAGGGGGAGGGGCCATTCAATATGTCCCACCTTAGCTTCCTGTTTCAGTGGAAATTACATCAACGCATCAAACAAAGCTGCGTGTTCAGGCACATCAGTGGGCCTTTAATGTCCGAGTCCGAAATTTTCACACGTTAAAAAATAAATACGACCTCATGTTGTGTCAATCACATTTACACACTGCCTCCGAAACTTTCGTCCGTCATAAAAAAGAAATTCGAATTTTCTGCATTTTTCGCATCCGTAGCAAGCGTTTTGAGAGGTGTTCTGACAAGTCAGAGCCAGCGAATGACGAAAATGAAAAAAGGCATACAAAAATTTCGGCCTCGGTGTGCATTGGAAGGAAGGACGTTTACTGTGCATGCAGTGACATCATGTGTGCGACGTGTACCTTTGCAGCATGCTGGTGGAGATGGTGTTGGGCGAGAGGACCTGAAGGGCCCAGCCCACAAAACCTTTGGCCTTGTCGATCTTCAGAAACAGGTTCTCTCTCTCTGCCTCCGACAGCGTCTTTGAGTCTAAACACACAACAAAAATACTGCAGCAATCCGAACTTCTGTCAAGATTTGCTCTGTAACGTCAGACGAATAACTCGAACCAACCGGCCACTTTCATATTCTTCAGGTCTTCTTTTCTGGATACAGGGCAGAAGCATATCCCATACACCATGGGTCCTGAAATACAGTACATCTAATGTAAACTCCAATTAAATTTTTTTTAAAAAGAGACCTTCTCCAAAGACGACGACGTCACTTACCCAGGACGGGTCCCCTGCCCGCCTCATCGATGCCCAGGCAACAGTCCTCCGTCTTACACACATCTGGGATGGACGAGGACAAGCGGCAGCTCACGGAGTTATCCGCCTCAAAATCACCCAGATCCATGTCTGATCGTTCCGTGGATAAAATAATAAAACATAAGAATATATCACAGGTTATTGTTGAATAATAGGCATGAATTTTAAGCTTTGATTTAAATGGATGAATATAAATAATAATAAGTATTACAGCAAATAATGAATAAATAAAATACAAACAATAAAAAAGAACGTTAAGAAAAACATTAAAATAACCTACAAGCTAACAACCAACTAACTTTAAAGCCCATTTTTTTTACCATTATGTAAATAATCAAGTTATTTCTAAGTATATACAAACACCTTCTTTAATTCCAACACAAGTATTATTTTTCCCATATAAGTTAATGTTACTGTATAACAGAAATCACAAAATCGATCAATATTGCGAGATGGAAAAAAAAAAGTACAGTCCAAACGGTACAAAAATAAGTGTAGAGAACATGGTTTATTAACTCTTATCAAATAATTTACTGGGTTTTTCAAATACATAATAGCACTATGTGATTAATCACAATGTGAGAAAGTTGATGCATAAACAAACTTGCACTAACCTGTGTGCTTGCGTGTGTGTGTGTGTAGCGCGCCTCACCCGGAAATACAGAATTGGCGCGAGTTTTGCTGCTTGACCTTTGACCGACAATATTTGATGGACAAAACGTACTTATTACTTCATTAAAAAAAATACTACACACACGGAAACGTATTCAAAAATACATCTAATTTCTAAAAGTGTGCACCAAACGTGTTTAAATTTGTGCCTCCACATCTCTCAATCGCAGTGGTTTGTGGGAAATGAAGTTCAGAGAACGTTTGGCAACGTAGATTTCCCCTCTAAATCAGTGTTTTATATTCAAGTCAGTGCAGAAATGTATAACACCAAAACATAAACAGTGAGTGGAGCAATAAATTATAAACGATATAGCGTTAATAGCGATAAATTGTACATAATTAAGTATAACGTCTTGAGGTCAGTATTTTTTTAGAGTCTATGGGCAAAACACATAGGCTACATATGATTTTTGTGCTTTTTGTTCTCATGCTGTGGATGTAGAACGTGGCTAAAATAATGAATATATTTAGAATATACTTTTCATTTTCTGATATGTACATCAAATAATACACGCAATAATAAATATATACTCTTCAGCCGCTGTTAGATAGCCTGAACGAAATTAAGTCATGGCTTTCAAGCTATTTTTTAAACCTAAATGAAAGTTTATCTAGAGTTTATTATTTTCGGCCCCAAGGAAAATGTGTTTTTGATTTTGATCTTGGCTTTCTCACCCCATATAACACAAAGTGTGCCAGAAATCTGGGCTTCCTTTTCGACTCCAAATTTGACAAACAGATTTCAGCTGTTGTCAGCATGCTTTTACCAACTTCGCCTTCTCAGTAAAGTGAAGGCCATTTTATCAAGCAGTAGTTTGGAAACAGCTATTCATGCATTTGTTACAGCTTGATTAGTGTAATTCTCTGTGTTATGGTATTTCTCAGGCTTCCATCTCTCGTCTGCCAGTTGGTTCGAAACGCAGCCGCTTGACTGCTTGAAGGGAAGTGAAAGTATGACCACATAACACCTATTTTAATGTCCCTACACTGGCTTCCTGTCAAGTATAGGATTGAGTTTAAACATGTATTATTTGTCTACAAAGCCCTGAATAATTTGGCTCCTCAATACTTAATAACAGATCTCTTGATTTGATCCGTACACTCCATCCAGAAACCTGAGATCCTGTGACCTTGGCCTTCTCACAGTTCCTAAAGTAAAACTGAATAAACAAATGATCGTTCTTTTGCCGCTGCTGGACCGAAACTGTGGAACAGCCTTCCTCCCTTTATTAGGCATGCTCCATCTATCTGAACTTTTAAATCTCATTTTAAGACTTATTAGGCTACTTATTCACCTTCTCTTCCTGGATTTCTCTTTTATTCTATTGATTGCTTATTTTGGCTTGTCTGGTATTTATGTATGTATATTAGGTTTATTTGTGTGTTTCTTTTATTCTTTGTAAAGCACTTTGGTCAACCTCAGTTGTGTCTTACGTGCTCTATAAATAAATGATTGATTGATTTGTATTGTTTTCCGAAATCTTGTCCCAATCTTCTCCCATCTGTAATCTATCTTAAAACTAAACGCAAAATGTGGCTAGTATTTGTAGTAGAGTAGATAAAGGCAGTTACCGAACTGAAGCACATGGACCCTCCCTCTTGTCTTTAAGTGGACCCGAAGCTCGCGCTCGGTAGTTTTGCAGCAGGTCGCGCGCGCGGACGGTTCCTGGTCTTCCTGTGCTCGTGCATCAAGAGAAAGTGAGGTTTCGCTTCCACTTACAGAACAGGTGAGTTTTGAAATATCGCTCTTTTGCGAACAATCCTAACGTTTATGCACATGCACGAATGCTAAATGAATAGTTTTAATTGCCGATTGTTACTGAACAAAAGAGCGCGTGGAAAACGCCGGCTATGTTTCGCTCTTGTACATTAACAACTGCTTGAAATATCTTCACGCATTCAACCTTTAATTCCGGGAAGGCGGCTTTGCTGTGAATTTTTGTTATATTGCAGCTATTATGTTTCGCGCAATGCTACTTTTATGTAATATCATCATCCCACTGCTCTGGATTAGCTCGCGTGGCTAAGCTGCTAAATAACGTTAACTCTCTGAATATATTAGCTACTAGTAATAGCGACTTTATCATGCATACTTGATATGCATTTCGTCTCACGTTTCCAGTCACTATTGTAAGTGAACAAACCTCTTACCAATTATGGCAAAGACTTTTATTAACGCACTTGTCTCGACCTTTTCTGAATCATTTTATCTTCTGTCTCCTGGCAGTTTTCAGGTCAAAGTCTCAGGGGGTCGTTGACTCATTCGTGTATTTGCTATGGGTTCGATATTATCAGATTTTTGCAGAGATACTGATCTGTCAGGCGCTATCAGAGGTTACAGGGCCCCATGTCCGGCGTGTACACGACGTCTGAGCCAAGTATACTTTATAAAACGCGCGTAAAGTCCATATTTTAACTGTAGAAATGACTAAAACGCTTATGTATTTGATCTGGAGTCGATGAAAGGCCGCGTTTAGTTTCTCAAGAAGCCCATTGTTCAAACAACTGACTGTCATGTGACCTGCAGCGTGTGATCTACTGCAAGGCTTCAATGCTTTGTGCATTGATACTTGCGTTTCAAAAACGAAAAGTTACTTTTTTGTGTTAGATTACAAGCTAAGTGTTGTTCACTTATAATTTTAGTACTTGTAATGCTATTATATTATTTACTTTTTATAACTTTTAAAAAAGCGTGCACAATTTCGTCAGATTAAAGGAGAAAGTTCTCCCAAAAATTCACCCTGGAGTCATCCTAGGTGTATATGACTTTCTTCTTTCTGTCAAACACAATCGGAGTTATATTAAAAAAATATCCTGGCTCTTCCAAGCTTTATAATGGGAGTGAATGGCACCTTAGATTTTAAATCACAAAAAAGCACATCCATCCATCCATCCATCCATCCATCATAGAAGTGCTCCATACGGCTCTGTGGGGCCTTCTGAAGCGAAGCGATGTGTTTTTGTAAGAAATATAATAGTCTAATATAATAATCATTGGGTCAGAGGTCACCGGATATAGACTAGTGTACGGCTGTTACTGGAAGCCAATGATTATAGTTGATAGATTTATAAATATGGATATTTTCCTTACAAAAACACATCGCTTCGCTTTATTAACTCCCTGGAGCCGTATGGATAACTTTTCATAATGGATGGATGTGCTTTTTTGGGCTTCAAAATCGGTTGTTATTAAAAATTCACTCCCATTATAAAGCTGGGAAGAGCCGGGATATTTTTTAATGTAACTCAGATTGTGTTCGGCTGAATGAAGAAAGTCATATACGCCTAGGGTGACTAAATTATGGGATAATTTTTGGATGAACTACTCCTTTAAAGTCACCATGAAATCAAAATGGACAATCTTGTTTTTCATGGAATATTGCAGTATGTATTATATTAAATGATTGATCTGTGCGCATAATTATTTTAATTCTCTGATGCATCTACTAGCGGGAGGGCGGAGCAACCTGTCACTCAACATGAGATCCACCAATAGCAAACCACAATGATCCAGTCAGTTCCCTATAGACAAAGGGAACGTCCTAAATTTGTTTTTCGAGAAGCCGTTTAACTCGGATATACATTACAAATTTAAAGAAAAGACTATTGCATCTTCTGGCTTTGTTTAAACTGTCTAGTCAATTTGCTATTTAATGTTGCTTATGCGATCAAAAATTATTCATTAGAAACATGTTTTTTACTGTTATATTTCTAAAAGTGTTTAGTTTGTAATAAAAAGTGTGATAATGGTAGTAGCAATAGTAATTTTGGTGATCAAACCCTAAAGCAGCAGCAGTGCCATAAAGCTTTTCTTGGTTTTTTTGTCCCCAGTGTCTTCATCATCATGTCTGTCGGAAACGCTAAGATCGGTCAACCTGCTCCTCAGTTCAAGGCCACGGCTGTGGTAGACGGACAGTTTAAAGACGTTCAGCTCTTGGACTACAGAGGTGAGCAGCTGTTTTGTTCATTCTAAACTACTTTTGCTTAACATTTCTTCATGATATGAGGCATCAAACACTGGCTGTTTCTAATTTAACTGTTTTTAAGGTGTAACCTGTTTGTCACTTCATCCTGATTCTCATTCCTTCTCTAGGGAAATATGTCGTGTTGTTCTTCTATCCGCTTGATTTCACCTTCGTGTGTCCCACTGAGATCATCGCGTTCAGCGAGCGGGCTGCCGAGTTTCGTAAAATCGGCTGTGAGCTCATCGCTGCCTCCACCGACTCTCACTTCAGCCATCTGGCATGGTGAGGGATCCTGTCGGCTGCTTTTATTCCTACATCTTCCACATCGGAGGAGCTTAAAGGAGTAGTTCACTTTAAAAAAAACTTTTGCTGATAATTTACTCACCCCCATGTCATCCAAGATGTCCATGTCTTTCTTTCTTCAGTCGAAAAGAAATTAAGGTTTTTGATGAAAACATTCCAGGATTTTTCTCCATATAATGGACTTCCATGGGAACCAGACGGTTCAAGGTCCAAAAGACAGTTTCAGTGCAGCTTTAAACGATACCAGACGATGAATAAGGGTCTTATCTAGCGAAACGATCGGCCATTTCAAAAATAAATAGAAAAGTTGAAGTTTAAAAAGCACAAAAATGCTGGCCTTGCTCTGTTCTGTGATGCACGTTCGTGACTCTCCTGTTCGAACTCGTTCATCAAAATGAACGAATCTTTTTTCGAGTCATTTCGTTCATTTCGTTCGTTGAATGAACGAAATGACTCGAAAAAAGATTTGTTCATTTTGATGAACGAGTTCGAACAGGAGAGTCACGAACGTGTATCATTTGTGCTTTTTAAACTTCAACTTTTCTATTTATTTTTGAAATGGCCGATCGTTTCGCTAGATAAGACCCTTAATCATCGTCTGGTGTCGTTTAAAGCCCTTTGAAGCTGAACTGAAACGGTCATTTGGACCTTGAACCGTCTGGTTCCCATTGAAGTCCATTATATGGAGAAAAATCCTGGAATGTTTTCATCAAAAACCTTAATTTCTTTTCGACTGAAGAAAGAAAGACATGGACATCTTGGATGACATGGGGGTGAGTAAATTATCAGCAAAAGTTTTTTTAAAAGTGAACTAATCCTTTAATGGTCACTTCAGAGCAAATGCATACATCCATATCAAGAAACATGTATATTGAATATCGTTAAAATGCTGTAAAAATATCAAGCACCTTTGTTTATTTATTTAGTTGGCAGTTATTTCATGTTGAATATATTTTAAACGGATTATAATAAGGTATTTGTTCTAGATCAATAGCAGCATTCGGTTTCACCGTTGGGTTTTCTGCTACGTGCTTCTCCGTGGGCTTCCTATGGCTTCTTCACCCAGTTATTGGTTATCTAATGTGCTTCTGACCAGCCTGTCATTGATAAGAGCTGCTGTGGTGTGTGTGAGAGAAGCGCAGATAAAGGAAGGGTGTAGCGTTTTATTGTACTTCTAGAAATTGCCATTTGAAGTCATCTTGACCTTTTTATCAAGAGCATTAGTCTTTGTGCTAACTTAAATAAATGAAATAGATAAAATAATAATAGGGTTTTTTTTAGGTTTAAAACCCCCCGACATTTAAAAAAAAAAAAAGAAAGAAATTATATATATTTACACAGACACGTATACATAAAATTTAAAATGGTTTACATTTAAAATAACCATGTTGTAATGTTTTATTAATCTGTAATTCAGTGAATTAATCTGCCGGATAGGACACTCAAGACTCACACACATATACATATATATATATAGTTTTATCTAGTCAGAATCCACTGTCCATTCAATATATTTTGCTGGACTGTAATACTTCTACCCCTTTGAGAATTTTTTTTTTAATTTTGTTGATACTTTTGAAAAGGGTTTTTAACCAAGTAAATCCAGACTCAGTCTTAAGGTTTTTAGGAAAAAATAATCTTAAACATCGGGGCCCGTATTCATAAAGATTCTAAGAATCCTCTCAGAAAACTCTTAATTTAGTTTAAAAACTTTTACGTAGGAGTCTTAGCTTAAGAGCGATTCGGGACCGATCTGAGAGCAACTGTGAGTAAGGAAAAGACAAAAACTTTCATCTTAGTGAGGAGGCGGGGTTGACCCCGTTGCTATGTGTGACACAATCTTTTGAAGACTGTGATTGGTTGGTTTTCCAAAAAAAGGAAAAAAAATAGTGATTTAAGTATAGGGTCTATTCTAAGCCTTCACTTTGAAATTACATGCGTCATTTTTCCTATTTGACTGTTCTCACACACACACACACATTTAGAGCTGTCACGATATCTACTTTTTGTTGTGCGATATATTGCACCAAAATTAATTGCGATAAACGATATTATTGTAATTTTCAGACCATTTTATGCCACTGATTACATAATGACAATATAATAGCATAATAATGCAAATACACTGTTTCAAAGAACATTTTATTCTTAATCTATTCAATATTTAGACATTGTGAAATGTGAAAAAATATATCCCAAATAAATAAAACAAGTAAATAAATACACTTTCGTTAACAAAAAAGTGCAAGGTATAAAGAACTAGATCAAAACAAAGTAATATGTCAATTTAAACTTTTAAAGTGTCTCACACAAAGGCACAGATGCATCAACAGGACATTTCTGCTGTCAGATTCGTTTTTTAATTGTTAGGCAGATTCCGAGAAAGGAACACCAACATGTTTACCTTGTGGGGCTTAAAGGAGAACTCCGGTCAATTTTAACATTGAGCTCATTTTTTTGGTAAATTTGGAGTGCTGTCAGTACAGAGAACAACGGCAAAAATCGGTGTTTCCTACACCGTGTTATCCTCTTTTTAAAATGTGCACACTGTTGACTTAAACGGGGCTAGTTTTAAACCTGTTAACATCCTTGATGTGTCATTTTAAGTGAACAGCCATGTGAGTGATGTTATTCATAGTGAACACGGTGAAAGATATGAATAAAGATGTGAAAGATATGAATAAAAATGATGTTTATTCAGCCAGCTCACATACCCGTATTTACTTCCTGTTTTCGGTCGAAGTCCACAGTAGTCGATTGTCGAGTTCGCGCGCGCGATCATTGGTAACTAAGATAACTAATGATCGCGCCCGCGAACTCGACAATTGACTACTGTGGACTTCGACCGAAAAAAGGAAGTAAATACAGGTATGTGAGCTGGCTGAATAAACATCATTTTTATTCATATCTTTCACATCTAACGTTACTGCAGTCAGATTCACCGTGTTCACTCTGAATAAAATCACTCACATGGCTCAATTCCATGTTGGACTCGTTATTCCTAACTGGCTCGCTGTAGATGTCGCAGAACACTTTAAAATGCAGTTGGTTCACGCCTTCTCTTTACCTGACGGTGTCTCTCTCTCTGTGTGTGTGTGTGTGTGTGTGTGGGGACACGCTGCCTGAGCCCCGCCTCCGACACAGAGTGCAGACAAGATGACAGAGGCAGCGCGATCAACTAAAATGTTGGTGACATTCATTGTAATGTAAAAATAAATCTAATTATTATTTTTAATAATAAAACAAATTATCAGTTGCAATATATCGCGGCACCAAAAATGATCGCGCTCATTTCCATATATCGTGCGATAAGTCGATATATTGACTATCGCGACAGCTCTACACACATTATATATGTGTATATAAATCCTTTTTTTTTATTTATTATGCTGTTAATTTCCTATAAGGTATTTGGCTTAGAATGATAAAAATTGTTCCACTCTTTCCAATTACACTGATTGCTGGCATGTCTATTTAAGTGGTTGTTTGAATGTTGGTTTTAATGTAACAAACATGGAATCAAAACCAAGGAGGACGAGAAAGCCCGACTGGACAGAGGAACAGTGTTTACTGTTAGCCCAGTTAGTGGATGAACACAAGGCCATCCTTAAAGGAAAACTCGGGCCGGGTGTCAATCAATAGCGTTTTATTAACTCACTGTCATCCATTGTCTGCAACACATTTCTTCTCCCTCTTCGTCTTTCTGCCATTTCTCCTCTGCTAAAGAAACTCTTAAGCCTCTTAAAAGTCCTCGTCCGTACTGCTAACAATTTTGACCTTAAGACCTCTTTTAAGGGTTAAGATACTTTCTGAATTACTTTTTTCTTTACTAGGTTTTTTTCTTTAATTTTAAGAGTGTATTTTCTTAGAACTTTGTCACTAGGAGCGACTCTTTGCATTAAGATTCTTTATGAATACGGGGGAGAAAGAATTAACGTTTTAAATCAAACCTCATTCCTGTTGTGACTTGGCTCCTGATAGGATCAACACCCCCAGGAAGCAGGGTGGACTCGGCTCCATGAACATCCCTCTGGTGGCTGACCTGACCAAGTCCATCTCCCAGGATTACGGCGTTCTGAAAGAGGAGGAGGGCATCGCCTACAGGTCTGTGATGTCCTGCTAATGTTTGCACACGTTCAGCTTCTTTCCTCTCTCGCTTGCAGTGTACGATTGCCACAGGAGATAGATCGAGTGCGCTTGATGACGTACACGTGTCCCGCAGTGTGGACATGGTACAGAACTACCCTAAAAAAAACGTAACTGCTAAACCGCTTTTATTATCCAAGTTAAGTTCAACTAGCAGAATTTGGCACAGTGTTGATTACCACCAATTATTTTTACTCATGCCTCAGTAAAAAAAAAAGAGAATTTTGTTCTATAAATATATATTATGTTATTATATTATATTATATGGCAGTGTTGAATAGTATGCACTACTGTTTAGAATTGTGATTGGTAAGGTTTTAAAATATTTTTGAAAGAAGTCTCTTATCACCAAAGCTGCGTTTCTTTGATCAAAAATACAGTAAAAACTGTAATATTGTGAAATATTATTACAATTTAAAATAACTGATTTCTATTTGAATGTTCTGAAATGTAATGTGATCAAAGCTAAATTTTCAGCATCATTACTCCAGTCTTCAGTGTCACATGATCCTTCAGAAATCAGTATAATATGATGATTTGATGCTCAAGAAACATTTCTGATTATTCTCAATGTTGAAAACAGTTGTGATGTGTAATATTTTTGTGGAAACAACGATACAGATTTTTTTGTTTTGATCAATAGAAAGTTCAATAGAACATTTATTTGAAATATAAATATTTTGTAAGATTAAAAATGTCTTTACTGTCTCTTTTGATCAAGTTAATTTGTCCTGGATTAATAAAAAAAACTCGTACTCGTACAGAAAAAAAACAAACAGACAAACATTTTGGCAAAGTCAAAGTTTTTGTTTTTAAAGTAAGGTGGGAATGTCTTTTTTTTATTTATTTTTATTTCACAGGATATAATAATTTGTACTAAATTGTGTCCACGTTATACTAAGTTTATTTTTTTTTAGGGAACAAATGAGTTCTATATATTTTCTGTAGTAATCCTTAACATGCAACATGTATGCTTAGTGCTCAGCTTGAATTGCACCTGAAACGTTCCTCCATTGTTGTCCAACTAGTTTAACAGCCGTCATACAGGTGTTATTGTAAACGGACGAGATTGCTGAACAAACCCTTTCGTCCTGCTCTCACAGAGGTCTGTTTGTGATTGACGATAAGGGCATCCTGAGGCAGATCACCATCAATGACCTGCCGGTGGGGCGCTCGGTGGACGAGACACTGAGACTGGTGCAGGCCTTCCAGCACACTGACAAATACGGAGAAGGTGAGAGACGGCTGCTCTTCCTCAATGTCCTGTCTCTGGAAATCTTGACTGGGACAGCGTGTGTAAAACTGGTGTCTAACATTTTTCACTCAAACCGCATTTGGAGGTAGTCAGAAACCTGTATATGTAGTGTAAACGCATGCGTCTTGATGCCAACAAAGAACCGTTTACTCGAATAACACCGTTATACACTTCACAGAACATCTTTGGTGTGATTGATATCTACACACGTTTTTCTTGAAATGTCAATAATATTTGAGAGCAACAGTGTGGCAACTTTTTTTTTTTTTTGCTTCATGCAGTAACAGTGAAATCTGATCACGTGATCTCAGGAAACGTAATAAGAGTGTGACAGCCTATATGTAGAGGTGTTGGGTAACTTAGTCACATTACAGTTGTTCATGTTCAATTCAGGTTTTGTGTGTCTATTATATATATATATATATACACACACACACCAGTATCTGTTACATGGTGTTGATTTATAATTTATAATAACATGTCTCTCTGTTCTCCGTAGTTTGTCCTGCTGGATGGAAACCAGGAAGTGACACTATTGTTCCAGATGTGCAGAAGAGCAAGGAGTTCTTCTCCAAGCAGTAACAGTCTCGCCGTGTTCCCCCATTCAGTGGGGTGTTAGTGCACTTAAATTTAGCCTGAGATTTCTTAAAGTTCTCTTAGCCAACGTAACAAACTCTTCGGTGTTTAAATGCACCTGATAGACTGATTTCGTTCTTTCCTCTGTCTAAAGACGCTGTTCCAGTCAGCGTCCCTCATGCACTGAAATGTCTTTAGTTTGTTTGCAGCTCTAGTTAATCTGTATTACATATTTAGTACTAAGTGAACATTTGATTCATTTTGAATTGTCACAAGTTGTTTAACATTCTGGTTGTTCATCAGTATCTTTGTCAAATAAACAGGCTGTTATTGCGTAACATTGCAGTTGTTTTATTGTACCAATATAACTCAGCTGTTGGTATGGTCCAAGTTCATTAAAAAATTTTTTTTTTTTTTTTTTTTTACTTTGACTAGGTTCACCCACCCAGAAAAGTATTCCCAACTTAAACAAGGGAGTTGTAATCCGCTTCATGGCTCTCATGAGTTTTCACTAAATCTGAACAAATCTCTGGTTGTAAATCTTCCAGAACACTTACTTGCTTTGTAAGCGTTTTAGTGGTGATCAGATAAAAAAGTGGACAAGTAAACCGTATTGTCTGTGATAAATATGCCACAAAGGCTTTGGTGAAGTTTGAGTTGGGACAAATCAGACCAGTAGATGGCAGTATTTCATTGCATTTGGAAGAACTAGTCAACGGCTGGAGCGACTTGTTGCTTATTGTGAATTGCCTCATAGACAAGTATAATTTTGCTACATTAATTTATGTCAAGGTGGCTTTTAATATATATATATATTTAGCAGATCTGAGAACTTTTCCATGGAAAAGTTTGGAATGAGTACGAGTAGAAAAAAACCTTAATGTAGCGTAACAGAAACTAAGTAATTTCCAACTAATGTTTTACACATGTTTATAATAGCCTATACATTTTAATAGTATACATGGGGTCTTTACATGAATGTATAGCTGTCTTTTAAATGTTAGAATTGTATTATGGTATGAGGTTGATCATATTGGTGGTGTCTAAAAGATTGTGTTTGTGCATCAGAGTGATTTGTAGACCGTGTGGTCAAGTGAACGTCATCTGATAGTGGCAATCTTCTGCTGATAAAACACCCAAAGCAACAATATTGCATCGAAGGCTACAGGAAATCTGAGCATTTCACACTGCATTTTTGCTTTTAATTAATTTTAAAATTAGACCAGTGTTCAACAACACCAGTGTTCTTTTTTATAATCATCAAATGAGTAGCACAAACAAGATTAATTGATATGTGATCATGGATGAAATCAGTTTGAGGTGCTTTTGAAAGTAAATAATCACAAATAATATCTTTAAGTGCTAATATCAATGTGTCATCTCAAGCTAAATTTATAAATGTTATGTTGAGCTTCAGTATGTCTTTAAAAAGTTTTACAGTTCATTTAGACTTTTGCTCAAGGTCATGACACCACAAGGTCATTTATTAGCAAATGCTGTAATATTTCTATGAATATCTTGTTTTCAAACTGATCACTTCAAGTCTTTTTTAATAAAACAAAATGTCCACTAAAATCTAATACGCTAATCTAAATTTTAAAATAAATACAATACTGCTTTTATTTATAGATCTGAATCAATATGTTCTTAAAATTGTGTCCTTTCTGTCTATTTAATCTCTGTTTAATATAGATGTGGGTTAGGCACCGACGTCTGGACTATCTATTACCGGTTTATGTAGGACTTGTGGAAACAGCCATTTATTCACACATAATTTGAAAGGTAGTTGGAATGTCCAAATAATCCCTAAGAAATGAAAGACTTGAGTGTTGTATTTTGGGCCTGACTAAAATGAAGAAAAGCAGCAACTTGTGAAAGAATAAAGGATGTTACAAAACAAGATAATTGGACTTGAAGCGCGTGGGCTTGTGGTTTTAGTACTGGACAGTTACACAAATCTACCGGTATAGTTTTACGGCATTCACCGGAAAAGTGTCACTTCTCGTTTACAAGTTTAGCTCTTTTTTTTTTTTTTGTTATTCTATTTTTGTGCTTGCGATGGCTCCGTTTTTTGCAAAGTACCTGGAAAATGCCCGTGCTCATATTTTTATCTCTAGTTTTCTTTTCGCTGAAACTGTTTTGGGAAGGTTTCTGCGCGCGGGGAAAACCCCGAGTTGCTAAATTTTCTCTCATTCACACGCGCTTCATTCATCCGAGCGTCAGACACGAAAGCGCGCGGACTTCCTGGCCGGTAGCGTGGGCGGGGGTTCCCGCAAGTCTACCCTCAGTGACGTACATGCAGCAAAACAGCCCATATATGGGCATTGCGTCAGCAGGAAAAAGAAGCCAACGTGGGCACGTTTTCAACGTAAACTTAAACCCGTATGAATGCTACAGAATGAACGATTCGTTTTCTCTCTGTGCTTGAAATGAACAACCCAAACAGTAGAATTATTTTCAAACTCTTTTACTTAAATATCAAAAATATAAACAAAACAAACAGAAACACATTTAAATGTCTGGATCAACCTGACTCACAATATCAATAATAACTTACTGGAATGTTTTCATAGGGCAGCACTTTTAACAACAAAACCAAAGTTACTCAGGGTTCACTTTAAGTGCTTTCATTGTCCAGTCGGGAGTACCTTGTCGGTCAAGATGCTTTTTAAAAACGACTATAATAACACTATAGTTTTCTACAAGAAAACACTTAAGAAATATACAACGCTCGTATTCAGTGCTGCATTGGACCCTTTTCACAGACATTAAAAAAAATGTGAAAATATAAAAAACTTTTCAGGACTTGCGATGTTGATGATCGTTAAAACGCGTCATCACAGTCTGACCGTCATCACGCAATTGTCATTTGAAAAAAATCTTTTGCTATTTGAGCAAATGGAAACACAAAACAAATATATAGCTATATTTAATGTAGTCTCTCATTCACCGCTATAACCTAGTAGCCTGGTTTCAGCCTGTGTGTGAAAAGGGTCCCTAGCATTTGCATCAAAACATCACAAACATGATCTGCTCTTCCAGTGTTTCCCATTTGTCAGAGTCTGTGTAATTGCAGCAGTTCGTTTTAAAACGACTTGATCTTCGGCGTTAACATCAGCTGGCAGCCGCTGCTCACATGAGTCATGACCTTCTGCTTGAGCTGGGCCACTTGCTCCCTCAACAGGGACGCGGTGCTGGACAGTCCGGCGTTATCAGTCTTTAGGATTTTCACTTTGTCCTCCAGCCTGGAGATGCGCTCCAGCTTCCGTCGCCGGCACTTGGTGGCCGCAAGCCGGTTCCTAAGCCTCTTGCGCTCCGCTTTGATGCGCTCCTGGTCCTCCATGTCGATGGGGGACATGGGAGGAGAGCCGTCGCTGCTCTGCAGGTCAGGAACGGTCTGTGGCTCCTCTTTAAGGCGCTGTTGATGGAGCGCGTGTTGGAAATGATGAGGATGCGTCGCGTTTTGATGGTGGTGATGGTGGTGGTGGTGGTACTGAGGCAAGTAGCTGATGGTGGCTGTCGGGTAGTTGGCTGCAGGTGTGAGGTTAGTGTTGGGATTGCAGCTGTTTAGAGTGGTGTACACGGGGGTGTCCGGTTGCAAGGAGGCGCCGAAGACGGAAGCCGCCGAGCAGGACGACAGTCCTCCGGCTCCGATGGACACGTTCGGCGGGGGCATTTGGTTCATTTTGTGGAGCTCGTCCAGCGCTTTCACGAAGCCGTCAGCGAAGCCCTCCTGCTCCTCTGTGATGCTCCGGGTGTACAGATACTGCCCCGGGGTGGGTGATGTGATGACACCGTTACCGTTCTGGATGATGAGTCTCTCCAGCTCCGGAGAGGCGAGTTTCAGCGAGCCTACGTCTCCGGTCGCCGCGGTGTAGAAGTCGCTTTCGGAGCGGAGGGACTTGAGGTTCCGGTAAGGTTCGGCGAAGCCCACGCTCATGTTCTGCTTTAGGAGCTTGTAGTCGTGCAGGGCAGCGTCTGGATGACCATAAGCAGAAAGAAACGAGTCGTCATGATAAAACGGTTGCTCCATTTTTGTTGACATGTGAACAGAAATTACGTCGGACGTTTTTTTTTTGACAGTTGACTGTACAGTTTAATGTCCGTTAATCTTGTTCTCTCCGTAATATTACATGAGGCAAAAAGATGTCAAAGAAGAGAAAAGAAACGTCCAAAATAGTTTGAACAACTTTTTACTGTACCAAGTCGACAGGTGTTTTCCCTTGACAGCTGATGTCCAAAAAGTGCTTTTTCTGTTCTGTTCCCGGAGTTATTTACAAACAGCAGTACGCGTTGTCTTCGGGCTCCGTGTGCACTCAATCTCTGGAGAAGTGCGCCTCCGAGCCTTTTATACTCCGCGTTTCGAGGGCGTGTCGCGGCCGCTGATTGGATGAGAGTTCGTTCCGCTCCTCGAGCTGTCAGATGGGCGATGACGTTGTTGCCAGGAACCGCTGAGATTGAAAACAACGCTGGAGGCGAGAGTGCAAAACTGAAGGGAGAGTTGCGCTCCTATTTTTGTTTCCACAAACAAGACGCAAAAAACTAGCCGCAATTGTTGCATAGGCACTTTTAAAAAAAATTCCCATGGCCATAGAGAAAACAGAAACACTGTTGTGGTCTCGAGAGAGAGAAAAATAAACACCTCTAAACCGGTGTTATAAAGAATCTTATAAGCAGATTTGTATCGTTAAAGAAACAGTTTGTCCAAAAATGGAAAACCCCAATTGGTTTCAACGGTTTCAACCCAATATTATTTTCTTAAGAGATTTTAGGTAGAATGCCATAAGCAGTTCTTTTATCCTACAACAAGTGGAAATTATTTTAAATGTCAAGCTCTAAATATATTCCTTTAATTTAGGTGGCAGAACTACACTAGCCATTTAAGTAGCCTAAATACAGGATCGTAAAATGGGATTGGATAATTTTAACCCGGATGAACGTGTCAGGGTCAACCACATCATACCGGCCCTTTTGAAAAGTCAAGAGGGGCCCATTATAAAGGCCCTCGATTGTAAAGCGTATACAGCCTAGGCTGGTTGGCTGGTCTTACCTGGTTTAAGTGTGTCTCTCAGCCTGGCAAAGCTGGTGTTCAGCTGGTCTTTTAGATGGTCTCCCAGCTTGACCAGCTAAGACCAGCTTTTCAAGGCTGAGAGACACACTTAAACTAAAAGAAGTGTCCAAAACCCCTATAAAACCAGTCTGGGAGGCCAGCTGAATCCATCCAACCAGCTTAGGCTAGTTTAAGCTGTGTGTTTTTTTTTTTTTTAGGGGAGAAAAAGCTATGAGTAATATAAAATAGGCCTAAGTGTCTGAGTAATACAGACACTATATGCATTTTTATTTGAGGGCTATTGACCATTTGTATTTGAGTAATTTTACTCACTGAGTCATATAACATGCAAAACATGAGTAATAATAGGCTTTTTTCATTTAAGAGTCCACGGATAAACTATAACATGTTTTGTATGTCTTTAGAGATTCTTACATTAAAGCAAAAGCATAACCATAGCTCTCTATTGATCAGGAATAAACTTACTCACGATTTGGCAACTGATATTAGTCCCATATATGGGCAAGACCACACAGTAGTTCCTCTTTAGTGAAGGACCGGGAAACCTCTCCCATGTGGGCCTGATTCCAGAGGCAACGCCTCCGCACATGGAGAGGTGGAGGAGGGGGAGTACGCTTGAGAAGAGGCAGCACACACACACACACACACACAACATGCTGTCGCAAGACTGGGAGATCGAAAGACCAGCGTTAATGTGACACCTTAATGCAAACACTATTTCAATATAGTCAAGGTCTCTCATGCTTTATATATAAGGGAATGTATCAGGTCAGGACACAGTGGCGCTTCACACCTGCTGTGTGTGTGTAGACCTTCACACGACCACATGCCAACACCTGTTTTGCACAAAAAGAAAGAAAGCCACTACTGTCTCCTCAATATGTTAATGAGACTGAATCATCATGGGCTGAAAGCCAGGTGCAAACCCATGTTTCGCCATTCGGCAGCAGCAGCGCAGAACCTTTCACCTATACATGTTCAGGTACGCCACACACACTCCTGTCAAGACGACACACTCAACTTCCTCTCTTAATGCAGGCCGTAAAATATTCAACTATAGTAAACAGACTTTTTAAACAAAATGTATAACAAATGTTCAGTGAAAAAAAGGGGGCTTACCGTTTTCCGTTGCCAGCATAAGGTGGTCAAACTAAATATATGAGATGTTTTATTTAGGTTCATTTTTAACATTTGTGTTTGCAATTTTTGCAATCCTGTTAACAAAATCTGAGGTATGACTAAATACAGTTTAACACCCTGATTGTGATCCTGCATTTTGTGTGTGTGTGTGTGTGTGTGCAAAAAATATAAAATAAACTGGAAAAATTCATAAAATTAAGTTACATTTATAGAAATCATAATAAAAACAGAGTTGCAAAATTTTCCACAATTATGTAAACTAAGTAATGAGATTATGGTTTGGAGTTATTGATAATATTACAATATAGAAATATATATTTAAGTGTTTATTGACTGTTTGTATTTGGGCATTTGTTATATACACTGTTGAGTATACACACACTGTTATGTTTACACAATCAATCTGTATGTTCACCAAGATTGCATTTAACAATTTAAAATAACCGTTTTCTATATTATGTAATGTATTCCTGTGATCAAAGCTGAATTTTCAGCATCATTACTCCAGTCTTGTCACATGATCCTTCAGAAATTACTCTAATATGATGATTTGATGCTCAAGAAACATATTTGACCCCAACCTATATAAACATGCTAAATATATATAAACTCCTATATATATACTACTTCTCTTGTCCTCTGAATAATTCATCTGAGTGACAATGATTCACTGACAATGATCTGTGTGGACTTTTAGTTGTGTCATCAGTTGAGATCAGGGAGGTCATTCTTCAACTTAAGGGCAGCACACTTAGTTTCTTCAGAAGTCTCATGGTCACAGGTTCAGTTTTTAAGGAATGCACAGACTCATAAAAATGCATATCTTATATTTATAGATGTGCATAGTTTAAATGCAGCGTAAGTTCAGTTTAGCTATAGCTGACATATTGTTTGCATCACAATAAATGATACAGTCATTGTCTACCATAATAATGAGTAAGTCTTTTTTTTTTTCATTTCAAAATTATGTTCATGAATGAGCCAGTCATAGTGAAAGTGTGAGGCTAGAGAAAAAAAAAAAGACAAGAAGAAGATAATACATCCAACCGTAACCATGTGGTATCGGCACAGAGAGCAGTGGCTTCCGCCTCACTTCTTTGATATCTTGAAATCAAAATGGCTACACAGGAAGTTGGCTTCCTCTCTCTTCATTCCACCACCACAAAGTTCAATTCCTATTCTAGATATCATTCTTTTTAAGAATGTGCTGAATCGCATAGAAGTCCTTTATAGAATTGATCAAATTTGCTATTCAGCAACCATTACTAAAGGTTAAAACCTTTATTTGATCTTTTTGCCACACCATTTATTTAGCATCGGTCAAGATACTATTTTTTTAAAGTAACGTACACTCTAAAAAATGCTGGGTTGTTTCAACCCAAATTTGGGTCAAATATGGACAAACCCAAATGTTGGGTTAAAAATGTAATTCAAAAATTTACAGTTGAAAGTTAAAGTTGGGTTAAAAATTTAAATTACATTTTTAACCCAACATTTGGGTTTGTCCTTATTTGACCCAAATTTGGGTTTAAACAACCCAGCATTGTTTAGGGTGTAGGTGGTCCTGGGCCATATTTGTAGATGTGTATTTGCATTTTCCCATCAAACAGCTTTCGCTATCAATTGATCCCACTCGCCTGACGTCAGACGTCTGTCAGTTTCATCACACCCAAGTCCAGATCAAAGTCAGTTACACAGAAGAGTTCTCCTGTTTTCTTTGAAGGCAGATGCACATGAGAAGTTGTAAAAAGTATTTCCCCTTAAAAAAACATTTAAAAGAACATTGATAATTCTCATATCATCATTTCATGACGTTGAGGTTCTAAGACACAGAAGCGTAAATACACAATTACATTCACGGCTCGTGTAAGCGATTTCCATCTAAGCGCTGTTTTTTTTCCCGGAGTGAAAAGATAATCTGGGTTGACAGATTGTAGTTTAAGGCAGTGAAGAAGGTACGGCATGGGGTGAAAGAGAAAAGCTGAAGAAACGAGAGAAAGTGCCTGTGGTCATATCAGTCAAGCTGCTGAACATGGAGCCTGTGGCTTTGCCGAGAGAGGGAACGCTTAAACATGTTCACCGACTATTAGCACATCCCTGCTCACTTCCCTGCCAGAGACGGAGGAAGAGCGGATGGATGTTCCCTTGGTGAACGGGAGAAGCGCAACGTCTAATTTGGCAGCAAGATTTCCAAACATTCAAGTTCTTTATTCAGTCATTATTACAAACACAAAAATAATCACATCAACAACAAAATAATACACTCTAAAAAATGCTGGGTTGTTTTAACCCAACTTTGGGTCAAATATGGACAAACCCAGCCATTGGGTTACATTTTTTAATTACATTTTTAACCCAACTTTTGGTTTTGTTCATATTTGACCCAAAGTTGGGTTAAAACAACCCAGCATTTTTAGAGTGATAACGTTCAATACTGAATAGGAGCATAAAGAAGACAGTCTTATAATTTAATGCCATTTTTTCAATAATCTGAGCTAGCACAGAACAGATGGCTCGCTGTTTTCTTTTTCTTTTTCTTTTCTTTTCCGTTTATCCCTGTCGAGATACAATATTACTTGAATTTCCAATTTATCAAACATTGGTTCTTATGCTTCACCTCCTTTGTATTTTTCAAGAACATTTTTTTTTATACATTTTATTGAATTGAACAATCGTGTTACATGATTTTTGAACCATATCCAATGAGTTCCATAAACTAATCCCGATTACAAGAAACCCCTTTTGTTTTTGTGAGGTGCGTGAATAAGGTACACAAAAATGGCCTTTTCTTCTGTTGTTACTGTCTGTGATTAGCATGAATTTGTTTTTAATATGTACTGGCACCAAATTATTTTTCACTTAGTTTCCACATAATTTGTAGTATTTTGAATTTGACCAACTCTTTAAATTTCAAAGTCTGCAGTTTTATAAACACTTTATTTGTATGGTCTCGTAAACCTTGGTTGGTCACAATTCTTATCGCTTTCTTCTGAAGTAAAAAACAGTATAACTGGTGCATGCATTACCCCACACTTCGGCATGTTAAATATGGAACAATTAAGGTTAAGTATTGAAGCTGTATGAAGTTTCATCCAATGTGTGTTTAA